GAGCAGAGAGGCGGACGGACAGGACGGGGCTGGGCTGCTCCCCAGGGGCTGATGGTGACAGCGAGGTGGGAAAACTCCGAGTTTGGAGCTCATCTGAATTCTCCATTTACCAGCCCTCCCAAGGGGGCCCCAAGGCCCCCAGCCCGCCCACCCACCTGGTGGCAGCTACCCAGGTAGACAGGAGACCGGAAGAGAAGGAGCCACTGAGCCCACTCGCCCTGGCAAACCCTGTCCCAGGAAGGAGGCTGGAAGCTTCAGGTCCAGGGTGGCCAGGCACAGCCTCACCTGGGGCCAGCGGTCACTCTGACGGCTGACAGCACCTCCCTCTCACAGGGTGAGCTGGGCTCACTCCCATGACCACACTAGGGGTGTCACCATCTTGATCATTGTTGTCAGCTGCCACCAAGTTGGCCCCTGCCATGGTGACCCTATGCACAATGCAACAAGACGCTGCCTGGTCCTGGGACGCTGCCTGGTCCTGCCGGTCCCCGTCATCAGTTGTAGATCTGGGCCTGCCCATCCCCATCATCGGATGCTGCCTGGTCCTGGTCCTGGTCCTGGCCATGCCCATCATCGGCCCACTGTGATCCATGAGGGTTTCAATGGCTGATTTTCAGGAGTGATTACCAGGCCTTTCCTGCAATCCATCACGGGGCCCCCAGCCTCAGCGCCTGATACTTCTGCTCCCAAACCCAATCACCCCCTTTCTGAGAAATTCTCCCTTGTAAATAAATGAGAACAGAAATGGAACATGTTGAAAAAGAATGTTGTTAAAACGACTGTTTAAGTTCTACAGAACCTTATGGGGGCAAATGAGAAGTTTTTAGCTTTTCAATTTCAGCAAAAAGGAGGAGGATGTAGTTTCAATCTGTGATGAGATGAGGTGTTCTCGATACTGTGGTTTCAGTGAATTACACCTGTTCTTGTTCCCTAGTGCCGCTCTGACAAGAATATGTCACAGATGGGATGGCTTAAACAAACGAGTTTATTCTTACAATTTGGAGGTTTTAAGTCCAAGTTTAAAGTGCCATGCCAGGCTCTAGGGGCTGGGTGAAAGCCCCTCAACCTTGGGGTCCAGCTCTGCCTCCTGCTCCCGGGTCACTGGAGCTAGAGGCGTTTCTTCACTCAGACAGCTGCTGGCTGCTGAGGCTGAGAAGCCCAAGGCTGACAAGGAAAAAGGCACAGTCCCGATGTTACCAAACCACAGGGCAGGCCATTAACTTAAGTCCATTGTAAGTCTCAAGGTTGGCAGAGCATGGCAGGCTGCTGAACAACGACATGGCTACACGCAGGGTTCAAGCCTGCCATAAGCTGGAGGCCATTCCCCAAGGCCTCTCCTTATATATGGGAAGCAGACCACATCCCAAAGGCAGCTACTCAGCTGCTTGTGGTAGATCCCACCATGGAGTTGATTGCCAGTCTCCTCATGGGGAATAACTACCACCAGCTGCCCTGCCCTCACCCAAGCCCAGCCAAGCTGACTCACAAACGTCACCATCACAACACCCTAACGTATTATAAAGCATCAGGCCGCTGCAGAGCAACGGGTGTGCAGTATTCTTTATTAACTGTTCAACGGGCGGGCACTCACTCGATCCGTCTTCATCAGTGTTTTGGGCCCACCTGGGAGAACTTGCTAGTGCAGAACCCCAAACCCCAGCCTAGGTCGGGAGGGCACAGGGACTCGGCAGTGCTGGCCAGCCCACAGGCAGACATGGAGGTGGACAGGCCCTCAGGGCCTACCATGGCCACCTGGCCAAAGCCTCCTCTGGGAGGTTCTGTGAAAAGGCCCCAGGAATTCCCAGGGAGGCACAGGAGAGGCAGATGCAGGGCAGGCTGCCAAACAGAGGTCTCAGAGCTTCAGGTGCGTGGGGCAAGTGGGAGCCAAAGCAGCTACAGGGAGAGGGAGTTTCCAGGCTGCAGAAGGGAAGCTAGGGCCGCCTCTGGCTGTGCGCCTCCTGCCTGGTGAGGAGTCTGCAGGGCCCAGGGCCGTGACCGCCAGAGCTCACGCCCACCTCCACTCGCGTTCCAGGCACCCAGGGCGCCAGAGTCTGACCACACAGGTGCAAACCCTCCAGGGTCTTTACAAGCCCCTCCTGGCCTGGTATGCACGCCCCTTAGCCCTGTGCTCAGAGGAGCAGGCTGGGGGGTTCCCCACACACGGGCAGAGTAGGGGTGGGGAGGGAAGGGAGGGGGCTTGGGCCCGCAGCCTTCACTCCATCTCCTGGCTGCACCCCACACCGTTAGGTGGGCCTGGTGGAAGTCGGCCTGTACCTCCAGCCCCTCATGGCCTGGGGTTCAGTGAGACCCCTGCACAGCCTGGGGGAGTGAGAAGACCAGCCTGGGACCCCATAGGCCTCCTCAGGCCTTCCCAGCTGAACCCCTACGATGGGGTCCACCCTGGCCCAGCCCAAGCACGGTTTCCCTTGAGGGTCCCCCAAAGGGTCAGGGGCTGCAGAGCATCCCACAGAGACACCCCCACTCAGCGGGGGCTCCAGGCTACAGCCCCTGCATCTAAGTCCAGGGCCTGTTCACTCCAGACCTGGGGCCCAGCTGCCAGACTGTTTCCCCGCTTGTCAAAAGGACAGAGACATGCTCGCGACTCCCCAGTTTCTGTGAAGGTCCTGCGTGACACAGGGGGGCCTCCGGAGAGGGCTGCCCCCCACTTCTCACCCTGGAGATGCGCCAGCAGGAAGCCCCTCCCTTCTCTGCCCCATTTCTCCCTGTGACACAGGAGGGGTCTGGCTGGGAGAGGAGGGCAGGGGAAGGGCCCGGCCAGCCTCTCCCGTTCGAGACCGAGACTCCCCTCATCTGCACACACCCCTAGTCTCCCAACCAGGACCCCGCTGCTGAGAAAGGGAGGCAGGCCAGGGGGCAGCAGCTGCAGGGGTGAAGTGAGTCGGGGGGCACCCAAACGAAGTTGTCAGGGCTCCACCTGCCCCCAACTGGTGACACCTCACCAGGCGTTGGGGCCCCATTTGCAAGCCAATTCCTTAGTCCCAGGGTATAGAGGAACCCCGAGGGCAGCTTCTAGCGGGGGCCTCCACGTGAGCCCCTCTCTGTAGCCCCGAGGTCCAGACTCTCCCCTCCCGCCCTGGTGTGTGGGGGTGACAGCAAGTTGAAGGACCGTCCCCAGGCTGGCTGGGCCATGGTCACCACGTGGTGATGCTCATTCCTCTGGGCCCGGGAAGGTAGGGTGCCCCAGCAACCTCCAAAGGCCTTGACCCTGCTCCCCACTCCCCCCTTTCCCTGGTGGCTCAGGCCATGCTGGGGGAGGGTACACTCATGGCCACCAGGACGCTGGATGCTAACTCAGGCCCCACAGACCCTGGGCAGGGGCCGGGCAGCTCACCAGGGTCCCATGGAAGCACAGCGAAATCTGGGAGGACCAGGCTCAGAGGGGGCTTGTCTCTGCCATGACCCCTCTCACAGGCTAGGAGGGCTGCAGAATGGGGGTGGTCCCGTGGTGCAGCTCCAAGCCACTGAGGGGCTGTCCCTGACGGCCCACACCCTCGTCACTAGAGTCCCCAGGGAGCAGCCTAGAATGGGGAGGGGGTACAGGCACCCCAGCCCCTTGCCCTCCCAGGGGGTCACTGGGTGAGTAGCCCCAGCAGGCTGGAGCCCAAAGTCCTAACCTGCAGGATAGCTCACAGGTCCTGGATCCTTCCTACCCCATCAGAGGCTCACGCACACCTCCGGTCAACCTCCCCCCACAAAAGGGACTCTCAGGACACCCTCCCCCGCTCCCAGGCCTGCCTTTAACTTGCTATGAGGCCTCAGAGGAGCCTCTCCAGCCTCAGTTTCCCTATCTGTAAAATGGAGCCGCGTTGACGGACTCCAGACCCCATCTCTACTAAGTGGCACTCTGCCTCCCCCTGGTGGCCAAGAAGCCGCATTGCTGTTGGCTGCAGAGCAGGGCCTGGGAGGGCAGCCTGGGAGCCTAGCAACTGGGGACCCACAGGGTCAGGGTTACACATCAGGCGGGCCTCATCCTCCCGACACTTGCAGGGGTCACAGGAGCTGCCCCCCAGTCCACGCCCCTCTACACCATCAGGCCCACCGCGAGCTGCCACCCACCTCCCCAAGACAAGGATCTAAACGTGGCCCCCACCTGGGCCACCAGGCTTAGTGGGGTCCTGGGGTCCAGCAGCCTCGTCTGAGGAGAGGCCTTGAGCCCAGGGAGATGCTGGTGCACTGAAACCCTGATGTGAGCTGAACTGTGTCCCCAAAAGACACGGAGAAGCCCTAGGCCTGCACCTGGGAGCGAGACGGGTCTGGAAACTGGCCTTCGTAGGTAACCTGTTAGGCGCAGGGTGGGTCCTCACCCCCGAGTGCTGTCCTTACAAAAGGCAAGAAGGGCCACAGAAGGAAGACGGCACTTGAAGACACAGCCAAGGACTGGCGTGACACGGCCACAAGCCCCCATTTCTGGGGTCACCAGAAGCTGGGAGACCAGGAAGGGCCCCCCCAGAGCCTCTGGGTGGAGGGTGGGGGCGGGGCTACAGGGCGGGGCCTGCCCTCAGGCCCACCCAGGACTCCCGGCCTGCAGCTGGGAGACAATGAGTTCTGTGTTGCACACTCCCATCTGCGCCAACACAGGCCAGAAGGGGGCGGTGACTCCGGGTCACAGAATCGGGGCAGAGTCAGGTGAGGCCCAGGCCCTCTGAGCCCAGGGGACAGCCTCCCCAGGTTTTGTCCTCCCATCAACAACGCCACCGTCCACTGAGCCAGCGGAGTGACAGCCCCGATTCCAGCTCCGCCTGGGCCCTCGGCTCCTGACTCTGCCTCTGCCTGGGCCCCCCCCCCGACCCCCCGATTCCAGCTCCGCCTGGACCCTGATCCTCAGGGGCAGTAGGGGAGCAGGCTGGCTCCCCCCAGATCCCATTGTGTGTGTTCACAGTGGCCACAGTCTATCTGGGCCTGCTGTCACCTGGAGGTGGCCCTGGCCCAGGAGGTGGCACTTACAGCTCTCAGTCCCCAGGGACATGGCACCCCCATGGTCAGTGGCTGGGGACACGCAGCCTGCACTTCAGTTTGCCACAGCCCTCCATCTCCTGGGAGTGCAGCCAGGCTGGGAAACGCCCAATGCCCACGCCGTTGTGACCAGGCAAAGCCCAGCTGGTCAGTGCTGGGCCCCTGGCCACCGAGCACATCTGTGCGGGACTGTGGGGACACGTGCGGATGCCAGCAAGGGACACAGAGCAAGCATGGTCAGTGTCTTTATTGAGGCCGCCGGACCCCACAGGGTGGGTCCCTCCAGGTCCCCACCCTGTGACCGTCCTCTCCTGGGCCCTGAGGAGGGTCCCCTGCAGCAGCTTACTCCGGGGTGCCTTTGCTCCTTGGGGCCCAGATACTGGACAACCGGAACCTGGACTTCTTCCTCTGGCTCCCTCCGCTTCTCTGGAGGTCTGGGGGCAGGTGGACCGTGAGGCTCCGCAAACCACCTCTCAGCCATCGCGCCAAATCTCCTTCTGGAACGTTCCTCCCTCTGCACCCCCCAGGCCAGCCCACACAGTGCCCGCAGGACGCCAGGTCCGGTGTGGCTCCCCAGATGGGCCCATGTGCACTGGGTGGTCGGGCTCCCTGCCCCGCGCCAGGGCTCTGCAGTGGCTGTTCCCAGGGCCTGACAGTCCCTACTCGGAGGCTGCCTCCACAGGTGGCCCCACCCGGCCCCCGGCCCCACCGCCCAGCCGCCCTCGGTACCCAGTTTTTGGATCATGTCCTGCAGCATCTGGTCCTCCTCTTGTTCCCTGGAGTGAGGGCAGAGGCAGCCGTGAGGGGGGTCCGTGGGCCTAGGGCCCTGCACACCCCCTCCCAAGCCACAGCCACCTGCCTGCTGGCCTCCCCTCCCCACACCAGCCACCGCCTCTGCACCTGCCCACCCCCATTGTTGACATGAGGAAGGGCCTGGGCAGACCCACCTCCTCACTCAGTCCCACATTCAACTGTGTGCCTGGCAGGTCCCTTAACTGGGTCTGGGGACAGGGACACTGGGGGTGGGGGTGTCCCACCCAACATAAAGGCAACATGGAATCCCTGAAGCATCTACAGCCCCACGTGGCTACCGGACTGGACCGTGCGGGTCCCACCTTCTGGAGGGTTCTGCTGGACGGTGCTGCCTGAGGGCCAGGGAACGCTTGGGCGGGGAGCGCCCATCACTGGAGACTGAGGGCCTGCCTGCTCTGCTGAGCTGGGGGCGGGGGGCCTCACCTGAGCCGGTCCTCGTCCAGGAAGTCGATAATGTCACTTCGGTCGTTCACCGTGCTCACGTACTGGTTCAGCAGCTTGTCCTCCCGCTCCCGGTCCCGGGGCGACTTCAGGGCCTCTGCAGGCGACAGCCAGGGCATCCGTGGGAGGACCCCGGGCCCAGGGACAAAACGTCCCCAGCTCGGTCAGTGTCAGATTCAAGGAGGGGTAGGGTCTTGGGAGCTCCTGGGACGGGGCCTGCAGCCTCTTCTCAGTAACACGGATGCAATGACCAATGGACTGACTGACTGAACAACCATCCAGAGAGTGAGCGCAGTGGGCCTGTCCCCCAGCCCACGTCACCCTCTGCCCAAATCCCTGCCCACTGTGGCTCTGGACACCACGATCCCGGGAACGGCAGAACAATGTGGCCCGGTCCCGCTCGTTGGCCTGCTCAGCCCCGTGGGCCCCAGTGCCTTCTGGGTGCCTTCCAACCAGGGGCCCTGCCAGCACCGCCGGGCCATGTTCTGTGTCCGTAATGTTCCCCTTGGCTAACTGCCAGCAGCAGGTCACCAGGCCTCTCTGGGAAGTCCACCTGAGCCTGAAAGCTCCCCGGGAACACCAGGGGACCCCCTGGAATCTGAAACGCCAGGAGCACAGCCCCCAGCATGACAACACAAGCCTCTGCAGTCCCACATGCTGACAGCAGCTGGGAGCAGCCCATGGTAAAGGTCACACGGGAGAGACTGAGGCTGGGAGTGCCACCCCCACTGCCCCCAGCCTCACAGCAGCGGGCCAGGTGTCAGAGCCCCGGCCCCAGGGGCGCTCAGTGAGCACCTGGCACGAGTGAACCCATCAGATATGCACAATAGCCGTATGGGGTAGGAGCTATTCACATCTGCACTTTATGGGGCATGAAACTCAGGCACAGAGAGGTTGAGCAACTGGGCCAAGGCCACACAGCACACAGCCAGGAAGCAGGAGAGCTGAGATTCAGACCCAGGGCCAACCATGGCTCCATCCATCCCTCTGAAGGGTAACTGCCCCTGGGCAGCCGGCAGCGAGGGGCACAGCGGGAGCTGGCCCTCTGCACCCCTGCTGGCATGAATGGGCCCAGCTGCTCTCCGGGCCAGGCTGGGGCGGGAGGGCAGGTAGCAGCTCACCAGGCTTGTTCATCAGTCGCCGCAACTCCTCCTCCAGGCCTAGCTGCTGCTGTTCCAGGCGCTGGTCCTTGGACCTGCCGGGTGGAGGGATGGCTGAGGAAGGTACCACGCCCCCTCCCCACCCCAAAGCCACACCCACCTATACATCAGCTCGGCTCCGCCCCATGGCCACACCCATTGTTCATCAGCTGACTCCGCCCCCCACACCCACTAGCACATCAGCTCCAGCTTGGCCCCCACAGCCACACCCACTTGTACATCAGCTGACTCCGCCCCCAGGCCACACCCATTCGTACATCAGCTGACTACCCCCGCAGCCACACCCACTTGTACATCAGCTGACTCCGCCTCCACAGCCACACCCACTTGTACATCAGCTCCAGCTCCACCCCCACAGCCACACCCACCTGCACATCAGCTCTGACTCCACCCCCATGGCCACAGCCACTTGTACATCAGCTGACTCCGCCCCCACAGCCACAC